GAAGGAAACAGAAGCAGAGCATTGTTTTATTTACAAACAGAAACCTGTGGCATAGAGCAAAAAGAAAGCTGTGACAACTCTGTCAGTGTCAAGGGCTCTGTGATTCTGATTGTTGGGGGTCTGGTTCCATATCACACTGCTAAAGGTGTCACAGCGGCTCTCTGCCCTGGTCATATGACAGCTCCTCCCCAAGCACCAACCCCAGCACCGGTCACACGTGATATCTGCTCCTGAGGAACTTACATTTGGTTGAGGAGATAAAACCAGAAGTTAACTGCACTTGCATTCCTGGGATAAATCCCATTTGGTTATGGTGTATGATCCTTTTAATATGCTGTTGGATTTGGTTTGCTAGGAATTTTGCATCTATATTCATAAGGGATATTCTAAGTGTCTTTTTTGGCTTTTGGCATATGGGATGTGTTCTCTACTCTTTTTTTTAAAGTTTTTATTGTGAATTGAGTGATGTTGTTAAGTTCCGTGGAGTTGGTTCCAACTCATACTGACCCTGCACAGGGTTTCCGAGGCTGCAAGTCTTTACAGGAGCAGAAAGCCTCATCTTTCTCCCACAGAACAACTGGTAGTTTCGAACTGCTGACCTTGAGGTTAGCAGCCTGATTCATAACCACTACGCTACCAGATAGTGACAGTTTATATGGGAGAACATAGGTTTTACACTCATCATTTCATTGCAATGATTACAATCTCCTCCATGCATCATCATTCAAGAGTATTTGCTTCTATTCCCTGTTTTACGTTTTTTTTTTTTGGATATACACAAAGCCACTCAGGAATATATAATAATTTAAACAAACAAAGGGCACATTCTGCAAGCCTGCCTCTTGGCCGCCAACACACAGCCTTTCTCTTTCCATGAGGTTAGAATCCTCAGCTACTCTCTCTCTCCATGCCCTCATCTCTGCCTCCATCTCTGGTGAAGCTGCTTCTCTGGATAGGGTCCTACATTCCACTCGTGCTCTTCTCCCTTGATGGTCCTAGGGTCGTCTGTTCCTTTTTTTGAAAAAGAGTTTGAAGACTCATGTTCTTTATTCAGTTGAATTCACCAGAGAAGCCATCTAGTCCTAGGATTTTCTTTGTTTGGAGGTTTTTGATGACTGATTCAACCTTTTTACTTATTTTAGGAGCTGCTGAGATTTTCTGTTTATTCTTGAGTCAGTTTTAGTGATTTGTGTGTTTCTATAAATTTTTCCATCTCATCTAGGCTGTCTAATTTGTTGGTGTGCAATTTAACCATAGTTTTCTCTTCAACTGGTGTGTAATTGTCCATAGTTTTATTTCTGTAAGATTGGTAGTAATATTCTCATTTTCTTTTCTGATTTTAGTCATTTGAGTTTTCTTTTTTCCCCTCAATCTAGCTAAATATTTGTCAGTTGATCTATCAAAGAACCATTTTTCAGCTATATTAATTCTATTTTTCTTTTGTCTATTTCATTTATTTCCACTACGTTGTTGTTGTTATGTACCATCGAGTCAGTTCTGACTCATAGCGACCCTGTATAGGGTTTCTGAGGAGCACCTGGTAGGCTTAAACTGCCAACCTTCTAACTTGACGTCCAGTGCTGATTCTACAGTGTTACACCAGGAGTCCAAACTTTATTATTTTTCTCTTCTGCTGTCCTTGGGTTTAGTTTTCTCTCCTTCCTCTAGTTCCTTAAGGTATAAGTTTAGATTATTCATTGATTTTTTTAAATGTATTTATAGCTATTAATCTCCCTCTAAGCACTGCTTTAACTACATCTCATAATTTTTAGTAAGTGTTTTTGTTTTCATTAATCTCAAGCTATTTTCTAATTTCCCTGTGATTTCTTCTTTGACCCACTGGTTGTTTTAGAGTATGTTATTTATTTTCCACACATTCATGAGTTTTTCAGTTTCACTTCTATTACTGATTTCTAGTTTCATTCAGTTGTGGTCAGAGAGCATATTTGTATGAGTTCAATATTTTTTTAATGTACTGAGACTTGTTTTGTGTCCTAACATATGGTCTATTATGCTCTGTTAGGTCTTAAAGCATCCAAAAGTTTTAAGCAGTGCAATGACAAGGTTATTATTAAATTCCTACTTCTAATGAGTTCCTTTGGCTGCTATGTGAAGAACCAACTAAAGTTAGGAATACAGTGAGGAGGCTACTGTAGACATCCAGTTAAGAAGGAAAGGTACCTGGATATCTGTAGGGGTTGAGGGCAGAAACGCTAGAGAGTAGCAGATGATTTCAAGAGGCAATGGAATTAAGAAGTATCTTATCCATTCTGCTGGATGGCATATGGTATACAGTCCAGAAAGGAACTGACAGACCATGATGATTGACAGGAGTCTGTCTATAACACTGTTTATGCCCTTTGACCCAGCTGACTGTCCTCAGCCAGGTCCAGGGAGAGCCATGCCAAGCAGTCTTCTCTAAGGCTTACCCCAAGCTGACTCCAAGATGAAAATTTAAAAATCACAACTGTGGGAGGAAAATGTTGCCTTGCAGAGAAGGCTACTATAAGGCCATTGTTCAGGAAATAATCAGATGATTCCAATCTTTCCATAAATGTGTAGTACTTGACTGAAGTTCACGTGAGCTTCAAAATGACAAAAAGAGAGGAATCCTGCTCTTCCTCACTGACACTTAGCATGTGCCATGCTGAACTGTACCTGACAGCCTACCTCTATCTTATGACTCCACCCAGAAGGCTAGCCCCTTGAGGACACAGGCCACATCTCTAGCCCCTTGAACATGCCTGAGGGGCACAAAATGAGAGAAGTTAGCCTGAGGAAGCTCAGCTTAGGAGTCCCTAGAGCTGCCCAGCTCAATTAGCAAACATTTCCTCCTCAGCTGCAAAAGAAATCGCTCCAAAAAAAAAAAAAAAATCGCTTCTGTCTGTCTGTCCCAGGGAAATTGCTCTAGAGTGTCTACTTCAATAAATGCTACCTGCTGATTTTCAGAATCCTGGTGTGATGCTTTAGGATATACACTGGACTGCTAACCATAAGGTGGGCATTTCAAACCTACCAGCCTTTCCTCAGAACCCTAGACAGCATAGGTATGAGTCAGAACCGACAAGACGGCGCTAAGTAACAGTAGCAACATACTATTTTCTGGAAATTCCTCAAAAACCAACTGATTTTATTTTGAAAACTTAGAAAGGAGAAGCCAGCAGAGGAAATTAGTTCTTCAATAATTACTAGTGCCCCTCGCTTGACCACTATGCTTGTCCTGAGCCCAGCCACACTGTGACTTATCATTTGTCACAAAGGCCTTTCCCACAGCTGTGCAAAGTGAGACTACAGGTGATGACTCAGCCTGCGCTGGGTCAGGGACCTGCTGGGGTGGTCTCAGCCCAGTCCATGTCTGGGATGGCCCCAACACCCTTCTTCACTGGGAAATTAGGTAGTATCCTGGGGAGCCCTTGCCAAGCTCAGCACTGCTGCCGCCACATGAAAGCTATGTGGGCGCTGATCCCATGGAGACTAGTCATTTTAAGGCAGTCTCATTCTCCAAGCAGGTGAGACTAGGTCAGACTGATAGAAGATGCTCTTTAACACTCACTGAAAGCAAGTCTTGGGGAAAACGACCTAATGTAGGGAGCCTATGCCAGAGAGCTTCTCATTCTGCTGGTGCTAGAGCTTCTTACTCTCCAACTAGCCTGGGAAAAAATCCTGGAGCGCAGGGGCTGGGTTACCTGCTCATCTATAACACAGCCTCCCCCTGAAAATGCACAGATCTGTGAAATATGTGCCATTTTGCTTATAACTTCAGAAGAATCATGGCTTCCCAGCCCCCCTTCCCTATATGTGTGGACCCATTTTTTGCTCTGGACAGGCAAGGCCATGGGAGGTTGGGGGACAGCATTCTCACACAATGCTTGTGAATGCCTAGTGGTACACTCTTGTTGGCCCACTTCCTGGAGAGTACACTTTATGCATAGTTGTACACTTATGAAATATGAATGCAGCTATGCATTACAGCACAGTGTGTCATAGCCAAGTAAGGGAACACCGAAATGTTCACAACAAGACATAGGTTAAAGAAACAATGATGCATTCCTACAATGAAATATTAAACCATCATAAAAACAAATGGAAACTTTTTATGTACTAATAGGGAGATACTTCCAAGAGATGCTGCTAAATGGAAATAAAAACTAGGTGGAACATGGTGTTTATTTTAAAATAAGTTCATACTTGAATATATATGAAAAGCACAGACATGTCTCTGGGTGGCAAAACTGAGGAGCTAGGGACAGGAACCAACGGCAACGTCACTGCATAAGTTTTTTAAGACATTAGTTCAGGAATCATAGAAATGCATTTTTAAAAAATTATTTAAATAAATTTGTTAAGGTCAAAATGCAAAACATCTTGCTCAGGACTTCTGGAATGTACTCCTGCCTCGGTGAGGCAGCAGCTCTGGAGTCTGTTATGGAGACTGGAAACCATTAACCAGAGCTGCTGACTTCACTGAGACTGTAGGATAAAGCACTGGACTGCAAGGTCGCTTTGAACCACAAGGTCAGTACTTCAAACCTACCAGATACTCCTTGAAAACCCTATACAGGGTCACTATGAGTCAGAACCAACTAAATGGCATTTAACAACAACAAATCTCCAAGACAGGTACTCTTGAGCCTAGGTTTCCATGGCCAACTGCTGCTTCTGGACCTGACTCAGTAGCACTGAAGGCTGAGCACAAGCACTGAGTGGACTTGTCCACAGAAAGGCACACACAGATCCTGCCCACCACAACACCTCTGCCTGAAGCACTGGCAGCCTCCCTTGACCACCTTGGTAAAGAGTGTAGCAGCCAAGCTCATTACTGCTAAGGATGCCTGAGTGAGTGGAAAAGACAGACACACACACACCTTGACCTTCTACAAGGTCTGAACCAATTTGGGTCTCCGGGCCACCACACCACCACCCACTCATGATATCAGTTTCCAACACCTCCAGACCCACAATACTGCATACACACGCTTGCCACACTGCACACTTGCTACCTGAATGGCTGTTCATCATGTGGACAGCCTTGGCTTTGGCCAGCTCCAGGGCAGTAATCCACTGTTGTCGTTCCACCTCTGAGCTGGCCTTGAGGTGATAGGTCCTTGCCCCACTGGTCAGCAGGATGTTGCAAGAGTCCTCTGTGTCAATGTGAACCATAGACAGGTTGATGGTGCCCCGGCAGGTGTGGGCCATTTCACCCTGATTTCTGTAGGATGCAAAAGAAAAGACAGTGTAAGGCTCCCAGATGGAAGAAACTCTTAAGACAAATTCTAGAAATCACAGAACCCTAGCACTGGGAGAGGCCCTAGAGTCTTGGAGTCTTGAGTGGGAGATGATGACTATTGGGACTGACTGACCTAGTTGAGGGGCATCTGAGGTAGTGTCTGCCCTCTGTGGAAAGCGTGGGTGAGGGAGGAGGGCCTGCTTCAATACCACATATGAGCACACCTGCCATGGCCTGGGCCCCCACCGAGGAGAGGTGTGCAACCAGTATCCTGTGGGGCACAGCAGGCCTCTCATTCCACTCTGGGCTCTTTCCAGTCTCAAGACCACAGACCAGCAGCATGGTGGGATCTTGCACCTCATTCACAAAACCTGCCACCATTGTCTTCTAGCCCTGTCACAGTGAAGGAGACAAAGGCACTAAATGGGCTTACATAGTGCTACCTCCTGACAAGTGTCCCCTCCTTTTTGCTGGTTATAGGATCGTATAGTTAGCGGTACCAAAAGAAGGGGCAGTGGACATGGCCTGGAAGTTACCTAGCTGCTATCATACTGGATTATAAACCATGGACTAAAATAAAACCCATGAGTCCATACTGATATAAGTGAATAAATGTAGAATAAATGAGGGAGAATGAACTGGTTCTCCTTAATGAATGTACACTGGATGATGAAAACAGAAAAATCATTAAGTGCCATATGGGATCCGAGAGTGGACACTGAAGCAGAAAAAAGATATTAGTGGAAAAGTGGTGGGCTCGTAACAAAGTCTGGAGGTTCACTGGCAGTACTGGACTTCTGGTGCGGCGCTGTAGGATTGGCACTTGACTGCAAACCACAAGTTTGGCAGTTCAAACCCACCAGCCCTAGAGGGTTGCTATGAGTCAGAACAGACTTGACTAACAGCAACAACAATGCTAATTTCCTGGGTTTGGCCACAATACTATGGTTAGTTAAGCTGTTAACAGTAGAGGAAGCCTGGTGATGGGTATATGGATCTCTGTACTATTTTGACAACCTTTATGTAAATCTAAGTTAATTCCAAGTAAAAAATAGTCCTAAATTTTTTCACTATCACCTTCTGCCCAGTGTCACTATATGAAGTGTTGCGGCCAGAACCTGAACTCACCTGCTCTCCGACTCAGAGACCAGATTGGAGATATCCTCACAATGCCACTCAAGGATAAAAGTCCCAAGTCCCTATCTTATGGCCTGGTTCTGGATGGGTCTACAGGGGACTACGTGGAAGAACTTACAACACTAGGCTGAACAGAGTGATGGGTAAGGGAGGGAGGAAGAATCTCTGTCAAGATGAACCTGAAATCCAAAATTCAAAATCCATGAATAATAAAGACACCAGCAAAGTCAATGATTAGAAGGTAAATCACTTAGACAAAATGGGACTAATATGAAAAAACATATACAAATAGGTTTAGGTTTCTTAAAGATGAAAGAATAGCATCATCCATTATTTTGAAAAAGCACCAAAGAAACAGAAGCAGGTAAAATGAAACAACAAGAAAAGTCATCAAACATTTCAGAAGATGAAAATATACTAAGTACACTTTACCCATCAGTCAACATCCAAATCTAAACTGATCCTTTATTCATTGTTATTGGGTCACTTTTTATTACGGGTCTTGAGGAGGTCATTTTTTCAGTTTGACTTTTATGCATCATTAGAAATAAATTATATAGTGGTATAAGTGAATTGAGGAGCCCTGGTGGCACTGTAGGATATGCACTGGACTGTTAACTGCAAGGTCAGTAGTTCAAACACACCAGCTACTCCACAGAAGAATGATGAATCTTTCTGCTCCTGTACAGATTCATAACCTGGGAAACACTATACAGAGTCATTATGAGTTGGAATCGACTTGATTCATGAATTTGGGGATTAAACCAGTTGTCACTGAGTCAATTTCAACTTATGGTGATCTCATGGTTTGTCCCATGTGTCAAAGTAGAACTCTGCTTCCTTGGGTTTTTTTTTTTTTTTTTAACTTTTTTACTTTTTACTATGAATTCAGTGAAGGTTTACAGACAAGATCATTAGTTTTACATTCAACAAATTATACACTGTTTCATCTCAATGATTGCAATCCCCTCCATTCAACAACAGTTATTCCACTTCCTTTGTGGCTCATATGTCCCTTCCACCCACCTTCCCATCCCTTCTCAACTTTGTCTTTAGGTAAATGTTGTCCTTTTGATTTTGAATGACTGACTATTCCATGGTGAGCATACCTTACTAGTGTTGCTGTCCTCCCTATATACCTATCTACTGCTTGGCTAAAAATTGGGTCATGAGAGTCAATTCCTTTCTAGATCTGAAGGGTGATCAAGAGCCAAAGTCTCAAGTTCCTCCAGTCTCTTTCTGATCAGTAAGCCTGGTCTTTTTTAAATAATTTTGGGTGTTGCTCCACATTTTCTCCCACTCTATCATGTACCTTCTAATATGATTCCTTTCAGAGCAGTTGGTAGTGGTAGCCGGGCACCATCTAGTTCTTCTGGTCTCAAAGTCATGGAGACTGATGCTCACCCATTCCAGTAGTCCACTGGACTGATTGATTCTAAATCTCATCACTTTTCTTTCTTCTATACACGGAAAGACCAATAGCTACACCTTAGATGGCCACTTATGAGCTTTTAAGATCCCAGAGGCTACACACCAAATTAGGATGTTGAACATTGTCTTTGTGGCCTATGTTATGCCAACTGATCATGGTGTCCCCTATGGTCCTGAGTTCTCTAGGGTTTTCAATGGCTGGTTTTTAGAAGTAGAGCACCAGGTATTTTTTCTGGGGAAACTCTAGGTGGACTAAAAGTGCTTTGTAATTATCAAGGCCTGTAATGGTTAGGTTCTATATCAACTCAACTAGACCAGTATGTCCAGCGGTTTAGATGTTGGAATGTGCTAATTCCCATGGTGATGAAACCCAATACAGACATAGTTAGCTCTATGAATACAGCCAGTCAACTGAAGGGATACTTTCTTGGTGGGTGTGGCCTGCTCCCAATATAATGGACACATGGAAGGGATGCTCTCTCTCTTCTGTTGTGTACCTGTGACTTTGCAATTATGAGCCATTTCACTGATACTAAACTTCTTTATATATATGTGTGTGTATATATATATGTGTGTGTGTGTGTATGTACGTATGTATATATGTGTGTGTGTGTATATATGTGTGTGTGTGTGTGTTTATATATATACATATATATGCTTCACTGGTGTTATTTTTCTAGAAAACCCATCCAAGACATGTGGTACTGAGACACTGGGGTTCCAGAGAAACAAAATCATAAGGTGAATTTTATACATTGATTCTCAAGTCTGACTAATTTTAAAGTCACTGATACGAGGTGGAGGCATGTCAGAACTCCACTTCATAGGAATTGGCCTTGGGCTGAATTTGAGTTTTGTCTTCTTTCTCTCTTGTGGGGGTCACAGGAAGTCAGACATGGTCCCTAGTTGGTTTAAGCATTTGGCACTATGAGCAAGATTCATTGCAATGGCTTCAGACCTATGAAATTATGAGGTTTTGTAAGAGAAAGAACGGAGGGGCATGGGATAGACTACTTAACAGGAGAGTAGAGCAGACGTTTCTGGAGTTGCCTGGAGTCGATGTCACCCTGGATAAACAAGAGAGCTAATCTGTGGTTTACTGGAATCCACCCTACCAGAGGCCCAAGGTCATCTGCATATGAATAGTGTTAGTCCAACGTAGAGGAAAAGATTGAATCTGAGTGTTGTAAATGGTTTATGTGTTTGACTGTCTTTTGACTGCCTGCCTATTATTATAAAATAAACATATATGTGTGATAGAGATATTGGAAATTATGGTTACAAAGAGTTTATAAGCCCACCTTCAGCTTATACTTGATTGAATTTTCTATAAGTTGTTGTTGTTGTTGTTAAGTGCCGTGGAGTTGGTTCCTACTCATAGCGACCCTGTACAGGGTTTCCGAGGCTGTAAATCTTTACGGGAGCAGAACGCCTCATCTTTCTCCCGTGGAACAGCTGGTAGTTTCG